CATTATTATTATTATTTTTATTTTTATTATTATTATTATAACCTGTACCATTCTTACAATATTTATTATTATCATTAGTATCATCACCATCATTAATCACTATTATTATTGCAGACAGACAGACAAACAGACAGACAGATAAACAGACAGAAGTACTCACTCTCATCTCTCCTCCTCTGTCTGGCTGACTCTGTGTCTCTGACTTGGTCCGACGATGCGTCCGGCGCGGGGGATCCGAACCTGTTTGTGTCCTTCAAACACAGAGGTGGGTACACACCACACATCAGTTCGTATTTCATTTTTAAAGTAAGAGTTTTACGGCACTTGCAACACACAATAAGGTCATATAAAAAAGTGCCGAAGATTAGAGGTGTTACAAGGGAGTAACAAACACAAAAAAGAAGGAGTGATTTGGGGGGGGGGGGGAGACGGCAGATGTTTGATAAGAATGAAGGAGCAAATCACACACCAGAGCATCCGCCAACCGCTCACTGCACATTGGTCCTCAGCTCGCAAAAAAAAGCACACACATGGCACACTACAGAACAGACACACATTGTAATCACTAGCTCGCCTGTATTGCCTGCTCGTTACACAACTATATAGGTTTTGAGAAAGAAGAATTTTCAATATTAATATGGAAATATTTTGATTTTATTATCTTTTAAAAATTAAGTTAATTTATCATTCGTGTCTCACTGGTTGTTAAAATAATACCAAAAGGCTTTAAACAACAACAACAACAACAGCAATAACAGCAGCAACAACAACAGCAACAACAACAACAACGACAGAAGCAGCAGCAGCAACAGCATCAACAGTAAAACAACAAGAGCACAGCTAATTTCTACACGATGTTATCTCTTCTTAAAGCATGCAGTCTTTTGCAGAAAAGTTTTCTTAAACCTTTTTGAAACCAATATATCTAATTACATCACAACACTAGTCGAAAAAAATAATCAATGCTATAACTTGATAGTAACATTCCTATAACAATAGTCTCATCAGCCACAATAACTAACACTTCAGAATAAATGTATTATGCATAATATATTTATATTTAAAAGAAGAAACCACGAATGTTTCAAGCAATACATGAGGGGAAAAAATGGAGTGCAGTTGTAGCAACAACATTCTGGTTACCCGTGAATTGTATTGGGCTGTGATCCACGAAAAAAAGACAACGTTGAGTCTAGCACTCCTTGTTCAAGCTTTACCCTAAGCCACAAGCTCTAGCCCGTAAGCCGTAAGTCCTAGGCCCTATGCCCTGGGCGATGCATGCCCATATTGGAGCAAGAAAGAACTTGCTAACGATAAACAAACCACAGTCGTAAACATGAACATAAATTTACAATATTAAAATGTTTTTAAAAAAATCCAAAATGTAAAAAGACACTTACATTAATTGCTACTGAGAATCAAGTTTTGGGAATTGTTTCCCTTTCTGTTTGATTTCTTTAAATATCATCCCTAACTTTGCCTTCAAGTCTTGTTTAATTAAAATGTGAGTCAACGACAAGACCATCAAGTGATGCAATGTTTCTAACTACGTGCTTGAAAACAACAATTAAACATTTCAAAACGACAAACACAACAGAGTACATCCACACAGATCTCTCAGAGAGGAAGTTGAAAAGGGCGAAACAAAATCGGTGTGAAATCACCATTACAGTGGATGGACTGTCAAATTTTAAACATTAATTAAAGATGAGCGTGAAAAAAAAACTCAGCTGTGTGAATACGTAAGTCCCAACCTACCCCATCTCACTCGTCCTTTCCCCATAGACACCACAAACACACTACCTCAGTTCCTTTAATCATTAGCACTCTCTTGTGGATGTCGTTATTCACGTCCACATCGACACAATTTAGGTCAGTTAAGAGGCGGGTAGGGCAGCTCGACCTTTCCCACCAGGGGCATCCGGGTTTGAGAGGGACACATTTAATTTACAACGTCCCAGCTACCGGAAAGACATTCAAATACTCGATAAAAATTCTCCCCACATGGAGATTGAACCCGTGTCTTCTGCGTGCAACGGCGCAGTGCCAAACTACTACACCACAGATGCCAGTATGTATACTTTCTCAGAGACAGAAAAGCAACTACTTCCCCCC